GTATTTCTTATGTCAAGACAAATCGATCGGTATATATAAAGTATAGTTTTAATTTAAATTTAAAAAATTAATGAAAGTTAAAAAATCAAAAATTCACATTTTGGCTATAAAATTTTGTGATTATTTAAATTTAAGTTTATTGATTAAATAATTGTATTCCTTACATGAAAATAAATTGATTGGTATATATAAAATTTACATTTGAGGTAAATTTAATAAATTAATGAAAGTTAAAAATAAAAAATACACATTTTAGCTGGAAAATTGTTTATTTATTTAAATTCAAGTTTAAATATAAAATAATTGTGTTCCTTGTTTAGAATGATTGTTTTCCTGGAAAATGAAAAAATCCCTTACAAAGTCAAATAAAATTAAACAGCATGTCGCTATTATTTTTTTACCTTCAAACAACACAAATTACCTTCAAAAAAAAAACCTACCAATTGAACCTAAATTGCAAGAGAATAAGAATAATCAATTTTATTCGAATTTTTTTAGAAAGAACGTGTCTAACAAAATATTTACTTGTACTACTGCTATAACTTATTTATACTACTGAGAAAATTTCAAACATTTAGAATGTCTGGCTAATAAGTTATTTGAACCACTGATAAAATTTAGAAGTGCTTTAAAAGTTTGACACAAGGTCAAGGTCAAGTCAAGGTCGTTCAAGGTCATTTGAAGGTCAAGTCAAGGTCATTCAAGGTCATTCAAGGTCATTTGAAGGTCAAGTCAAGGTCATTCAAGGTCGTTTGAAGGTCAAATCAAGAATGTCTGACTAAATATTTACTTGAATTACTAACAAAATTGCAAACCCGTCCAACTAAGTATTAATTTGTACTACTGACAATATTGTACTACTACTTGTACTACTGCTGACTAATACTACTGCGTGATACTACTGAGAAAATTTCAAACCTTTAGAATGTCTGGCTAAATATTTATTTGAACCACTGAATAAATTTAGAAGTGCTTTAAAAGTTTGACACAAGGTCAAGGTCAAGTCAAGGTCGTTCAAGGTCATTTGAAGGTCAAGTCAAGGTCATTCAAGGTCATTTGAAGGTCATTTGAAGGTCAAGTCAAGGTCATTCAAGGTCATTTGAAGGTCAAGTCAAGGTCATTCAAGGTCGCTTGAAGGTCAAATCAAGAATGTCTGACTAAATATTTACTTGTATTACTAACAAAATTGCAAATCCGTCCAACTAAATATTAACTTGTACTACTGACAATATTGTCAACGTGTCCAACGAAATATTTACTTGTACTACTGCTGAGTAATACTACTGAGTGATACTACTGAGAAAATTTCAAACATTTAGAATGTCTGGCTAAATATTTATTTGAACCATTGAAAAAAATTTAGAAATATTTTAAATGTATGACTCAAGGTCAAGGTTTATTTATTTAAATTCATGTTTAAATATAAAATAATTGTGTTCCTTGCATTAAAACGAATCGATATAATTGTAAATAATTATAAATTATATATTATTTTTCATTAATATTTAGAAATTTCGGTTAAAATATGAATTTTTGATTTTTTAACTTCCAATTAATTCTTTAAATTTAACTCAAATGTATAGGTACTCAAATGTTTATATTATTATATTATTTTTGTATGTTTCTTTCAATGTTAATGCTTTCTCCACGAGGAAGCAAATTTTTTTGCTGATCGTAAAGATGAAGCAAAATGTTCATGTAATGAACATCTGAATTTACAACTTGTTTTTATTTATTTGTACAGGTGAAAAAAAATTTATTTCATTCAAATAATACAGTTTATTTAATTCAAATACAAGATTATTTGGTTCAAGTAAATATTTTTTTGTTAATATAGTCAAGTAAGAAATTATTTAAAGCAAATAAATTTTTTTCTCAGTGTATCATTTATAATTTAGAATATATATATATTATTTTCTCAAATAACTCAAAATCAAAATTAACATCTACTAACTCTCTAAATTTGAATTAGTAAAAATTTTATCTAATTTGAATTAGTAACTTACTTTCTGCTTTTGAATTAGTTAAATTTTACTAATTCGATAGTAAAAAAAATTTATTTTTTCAACTATTAGTCAACATTAATATTAGTTAAATTTTACTAATTCAATATAGCAAAAAATGTGTCACTAATTAAAATTAACTAAGATTTTTTACTAATTTAGATTTAAAAAGCATTGAAAAATAATAAAATATTTATAATAATTTATACAAAAAAAAAAAATTATATTAGTAAAACTGAAAAAAATTTAATAACAGCATAAAGGTAGAAAATAATTTTCTTAATTATTTCCAGTAATTAGACGTCGAAAAATTATTTATTTTTAAATTATATAAGAAAATAAAAAAAAAATATAAATAAATATATAAATATAGTTTTCTATAGATAAATTGTTTTCCGTCCTTTTGATGATTCTAATACATGAGAAAGTCAACAATATTTACCAGAGATAAACATCTTGTGTAAATATGATAGAAATTTTTTTTTTTTCACCTTGGTCCACAATATCAGATTTAACGAAGCGTCTCTTACACATTTTTTTTCAATTTTTTTTTTATTTTTCATTTTTTTGATGAAAGTAAGTATACTTTAGTGAATTGCTTGTTAGTGTTTGTGAGGATGTTATAACACGTTCTTTGAGAGAAATCCGTTTTAATTTGTAAGCAACCATTATAAAGTTTCATGATACGATTAGAAGCTGAGGCTACTGAAACGAAACACGGGGTTCGAGGGAGAGAGAGAGAGAGGGGGGGTGGGTGGGTTAAGTGGGCAAAGTGTAGAACTCACTCGAACTCAAGTTGGATTAGCTCGCCACTCGTACAAGCTGTCGAGTCACGACAGCGTACTTTTTACCTAACCCCCTCCCCCCCCCTCTTTTCCAACTAGTCAGAAAATGCGACTGATGGAAGCTTTTCCTTTATCTTCTTCTTACAAATGACTATCGTCTTAAAAGAGAGAAAGACACGCTTGTTCTCTCGTTAACTTACTAAGATCTTTAGAAATATTGCACACTGGATATATTTTCGATATTTCTTTTCTTGTAGATTGTAGGGGGAAAAACATTTTTTTTTTTTTTTTTTTGTTAATTAGTTAATTATTACATTCTTTGCTATTAATTAACAAATAATTTTTGTACGAATATAATAATTACAGTAAATAAATAATAGTATAAAAATAATATAATAATAAACAATATATAATAAGTAATAAATAATACATAATTTACTTGTTCATTTTGGTAATTTTTTTCTTATTTTATTTCGTATGTTTTGCTATGTATTATTTATTTATTCTAAGTACATAAATAATAAAAAAATAATAAATATAAAATATAATAAGCATAATAAATTATAAAATAATAACTTAAGTTGAAGTTATAATTTCATATATTATATTAATTTTAATCAGTTAATAATGCTCGTAACTTTATATTGCGCAAGAATTCGAGAGTTTAATTTTTGATAAAGGTGTTAACTTAATTGGTTTTATATCGAGCAGTTTTAATTTTATCATAAATTATATTAATGAATCGATGTATTTAAAATTTTTTTTTTTTTTTGCGAATAATAAACAAAGAGAATTTATTATTTTATTCTAAATTATATTTAAGTTATATATATAGACGTAAAATGTTTTTTCGACCGGAAATAATGCGAATTGACGCATGAATCATGGACGAAGTAGAGAAGAGCGGTTTTGGTCAGCCAACCGCTTAGTCAGTAGGTCACTTTAGTTAAGCGAATCTATTATTTTAAGTTGGGTGATTACTTTGCAATTTATATATATATATATATATATATATATATGCTTCTCAACCAAATGAGAAGATTAGCGATGAATGAAGTAAGAGAAAAATAAAAGTTATTTGTGTGAAAAAAAATAATATTAAACAATATCGTAAGCCAAAATTAATTTTTTATCAAAAAAAAAATTTCTTGGATAAAGAAAATTAAATTAAATACAGACAAGTATTAAAATTTTCTTGATTCAATACTATTTAATTTATTTATAATAATTTAATTTTTAATTTTGTCTTTTTTTATTAAAAATTTGTTTCGATTTTTATAATTTTTTTTTTTTCATTAACAGATTCGTGATTAATATTTATTAATAAAGTGTTAAATAATAAGATTCGTTTATAAAATAAAATAAAGAATTCTTTTTTCATTTTTCTAAATCAATGCTATGAGCTTTTCTTGAATTTACTTATTCAAGAAGATACTACTTGTATCTTCTCTTCCTCTCTCTCTCTCTATGAATATAATAGTCTCTTTGTTGTCGCAGATATATTGAGAACCATCAAACAGCATAAGAGGCTTTCATAAACGGATTTTTCGCGAACATTTTCTATATTTATTTTCTATAGTAAAGATTCATATATAATTTCCGTTTTTAGGAATAAAAGATTTTTATTTTGACATACATACAAGAGATAAAGTTTGAATATAATTCATTCGTATTCTAATTTTCTATATATATATACTATATTTTAATGTTAAAACTTTTTGAAAATGAGACATTTTATGAGATTTTTATGAGATAAGTCACTGAATATGTCAACAATGAAAACATTGTTATTTTCATTTGACCTACTCACGTTTCTTTGATAAAGATTAATTTTAGAAAAATTTATTAGTTTTTTTTTTAATTTTTTATTATTACTGTTATTTATAATAATTAATTTGTGCACTGAAATAAAAATTTATTTGATTCAAATACCGGTGTATTTGGTTATTATCAAATAAATATTTACTTGAATCAAATATTTCTTATTTGAATCAAATATATAGTATTTGCTTCAAATACTGAAATATTTGATTCAAATACTATATATTTGATTCAAATAAGAAATATTTGATTCAAGTAAATATTTATTTGATAATAACCAAATACACCGGTATTTGAATCAAATAAATTTTTCTTTCAGTGTGTTATTAATTTTTTTTTATTATTATTACTATTTATAATAATTAATTTGTATTATTAATTTATTTTTCAGTTGCACCATTAACGATGAATATACGAAATAATAAACGAGGTCAAGCAATTCGAGGCTCTCAAGTTTTGTTAGAATGTTCTGTGGGTGCTGCGAGACCCGCTGCCAATGTTACCTGGTTCAATGGTACAACTCCAGTCAAAAACGATAGCAAACGATTGGATATGCTTGAAACAAAAATATTTGAAAGTGTAAGTAATGTTTATTTTTTAAAATAATTCTTAATTATTTTTATTCATATTTTTTAAAATACATATTTTTAAATTACATATTATACAATTTTATATATTGTATATATTGTAAATTTACATATATATTTTTTTTTAACTTAATTTTTTATTCTTGATTAAAAAATATTTTTTTTTTTTTTTTTTTTTTGCAAAATTCGTATATTGTATCTAGGTTATATAAATGAGAACTAAAAGTTGTGGTAGTTTGTTTTCTCATCAATTTGTCATGTCCGAGTTGAACTAGAGGTAAAATCTTTATAAATGGTCGAACTCACTTCAATACTTTTCCATTTTCTGCGGGGGCAAAAAAAAAAAAAAAAAAAAAATGCAACCTTTCACACAGGGCATTTTTCTTTTTCTAAAACTGAGCTTAAGTTTTTAAACTTAATATAAAAAAAAATCATTCATTTGTCTTTATATTTCATTTCTTGTTTCGATAATATTAAAATCTTATTATTTAATTTAACAATTTTTAAATCAAATATTCAATTTAATAAATTATTTAAATTTAATATTGGGGCAAAAAATGTATTAAAAAATTTCAACAAATTAAAACAGAACGTATATAATATATTTATAACTTTTGGAAGAGAGAATTATCTTCTATATTTAATTTATATATATATGTTCAATCATTTAATTTTAAATTTACCTTTCACTTAACAAAATTAATTAAAATTATTAAAATTGAAATATTTCTCCAATGAAAATAATTTTAAAAAAAAGCTCTTTTGTTTGAAAAACCGAATAATAATGTTAAATAAATAGAGATATAACAAATTAATGAAATTGAATGAAATGTTTTAATCTGTTTAAAAAAAAAAAAAAAATTGTTGATGCTACTAATTAAAATTATATGCTTTAACTAAATATAATGAAGGTATAAATAAATATAATACTGTAAAATTTTATATAAAGTGGAAAATACAAAATTGGAATAATTTATTACATGGTATGAAAATAAATATAACATTTTATGAAAGTATTTTCAAATCATGCAAAAATATGTTATAAAAAAAAAGCATAATTTTCATTTAAGAAATTAAAAAAGTTAAAAAAAAAAAATTTTTATAAACTTAATATACAGATATTATAATAAAATTTAGTTTTACTAATTAAGACTCTTTAGGGAAAAATATGATTTTTGATTTTCAAATTGTTAAACTTTTAAATACTTTAAATCTCAATTTAAAAAAAAAAAATTCAAAACAAATTTTTTGTTTTTTAATTCTGGATTATTTTATTGTAATTTTGGCTTTGTATACTGCTCACATCGAATGTGTAATTCATTGGAAACATTAGTTTACAATCTTGTGAATCCTCTTCTAAATATACTATATCCTAATATAGCAATAATTATATATATATATACTACTATATACATTCACAAAGAACCCTACACAAACGAGCCAACCGAAAAGCTTGATTACAACTAAATTTGGGAAATATTACATACCTCTGTGCAAATTGTTACAGAGAAATTATATATATATAAGTATATATGCGCGCACTTAATAAAACAATGTCAGCAAAACAATACCTAGGGATATTCATCGAAGCGTTGATTTTCAATTAATCCGTTGAATGATTTATGAAATCCTCACACCCCCCCCCCCCCCTCCATAACTGTATGGAATGATGAAAGGAGAAATTGGCTCAAGTAGATATAACATATATAACTAGCTAGTTATATTCAACATTATATATATATATATAATGATGATGGTGTGCTGAATCAGAACACAAGATTCTGATAGTCACCAGATTATTATAATGTATCAGCATTGAGTGTGGTCGCTTTATCAAGCTTACTTCACCACGATATTCCGATTATGGATTTGTATTCCTACTGTTTGCCTTTCATATTCCCCGAGAGGATAATTAGCTTTGTTTGCTAAGTGTCTGATTACCTGAAAGCTAACACACACACACAACGCGATTTGACTACGCAATGCGAAACGAGCGGTTGCCAAAATTTACTTATTACTTGCTAATTACAAATGTTTATATCAAATATACACTCTGCGACAAAAAAAAAAAAAAAAACCTAGAAAAAGAATTCACAAACATCTGGCTATGTTTCTGGAATTGGATTTCCTTTTTGTCATTTTAGAATGCTAGATACTTTCTCTCTCTCTCTCTCACACTCACAAAACGTTATTACCATATAGAATGAATTTTTTTTTTCTTTTTCTGAAAAAGAAAATCGTTAGGACATACGAAAAGAAAACTCCCGACATACCAAACTAACTACATTAATTTTTCTCTATTTTTGTCTTTTATGAAATTATGTGTATAAAAAAATTTTCTTCTTTCATCCCCAGAGGGTTATTAAAATTGGAAAATATCTAAAGAATGTAATATAAAAGTAGAAAAAAATTTTATATCCATTATTAACAAGAAAAATGTATTCTGTTAATTTTTTATATAAGGCATTTTTGATATTTCGAAAAAAAATTGAAAATTAAATTAAAAATAAAAATACAAAAAAAATATCTTTTGTAAATTAAAGAATATTTATTATTGACTAATTTTATTTCTTAATCAATAAATACATATATATACTATAAATTATTAAGATAAATGACTAATTTGGTTTAACGCACTACTATTTCCATTAGCAAATTAGTTGAGTTGAGCAAATAAATCATCCAATGCAAAATATGATTCTAGAATTTACTTTATAAACACTTCCATTAGTTCCATTAGAGTTCCATCAGTAATTGAAACAGTAATTAGTGGCTGATTGGAGCGACACTTAATGTTAAAGCGACCTGAATGTTCACAGCGAATAATTAAAATCAAACTTGAGAAAGAAATATTTGCCTTTTGCAAACTTTCTTTTTGCTTTATTCGATGGAGATAAAAAGAAAAAAAAATTTTCTTCTTCAAAAATTGAGAAAATTTTTTTAATTATCAAAAAATTTGTTAAATGTAATTTTTTATTTTTTCACGGAAAAAAAAAGAAGGGAAAATATTTACTGAAATCTTGTAATATAATCTTGTGTGCAGTTATGATGTGAAATATTAGCACGTAGAGAGAAAATGATGAAAAAAAAGAAAGAAGATAAAAGTATATATGATAGTAAGCCTGAAAAAGGGGACAAAAGAAATTTTTGTAAAGAAAATCTGGCGGTCGAAGGCACGCGCGCTTCACGAGCTTGTGCCAAAACTTTTATCTTTCGAAGACTTTAGCAATTTAGAGGGGCTGGAAGGTTAAAAAGAGAAAACATGCAGTTTACTGCAAAGAGAAGCTGAAAATGTTTTTTTTTTCCTCCTATCTTGTGTATATAGAAAACAAAAAAAAAAAAAATTTCCCAACCAAATATAAATCATATTCTTTTTTTTTTATAAATAGATTTTTTTTATTCTAAATTTTATCAAAATAATTACAAAAATGTTTTACAAAACTATTTTTTAAACAATTATATAATTTTTTTTGAGCAATTAAATAATAAAATTATCACAAATTTATTTTTAAAAAAATAAACATTTTTATTTTATTTTCCTGTTTTTTTCTAAGCAATATTAATTATTTATTTAAAAATCAATTTATTAACAAAATAAAATAACAAACAAAAAGTAATATATTATTTCAATATATACATATATATAAAATAGAAAATCAAAACATATTTTGGTTTTCCAACTTTATAGAAAGAGTGCCAGTGTGCATACAACTGACTAGACATTTGAAACTTTTAAATTATTTTACTTCTTTTGTAAAGCGATGAAACGAAGTTTAAAAATTTTGTTTCACTTCTAAACTTCCCTAATACTTAATTCTATGCGACTTAAAAAGTTTGAAGAAAGATTTCCGTAAAATTAAATTCTTTTTTTCTTTGCAGAAAATATACGAAAAACTTTTCTTTTTTTTTTCGAAAATTTATGTTCACAACCTTCAATTTTTTTTTTTCTTTAAAGATTTTATTCGTGAAAAAGTTTTTATAAAAGTGAGTTTTTAAAAAAAATGTAAGTTCATAATAGTTTTTTTTTTCAGTCTTATTTAAAGAGATTTTCGTGTTATTTTGATGTCAATGAGAAAATTGAAAATTATTTTCTTTTAATTTAATTTTGTTATTAATATTAATAATATTTTAATATTAAAAATTAATATGAAATATTTTTATTAATAAATATGGAGAATAATTTATAATGATAAAAAATAATGACTATAGGGCAAAATTAGTTGAATGTAAATTTAGACACAGATATTTACGATTATTTCCCTTGAAAATGGGAGAGAGAGAGAGAAAGAGAAAGAAGAATAAGTGAGATTGTAAGTTTAGTGTAAAGAGATCATCCGGAATTGCAGGTCATGTTACACATTCTTATCTGAGATCATTTGCTTTTGTTTACAGCCTGATGGAACGGCGGAAACGAAGAGTTACTTTATTTTTACAGTAACAGAATACGATAGTGGAATTCCATTTAGTTGCCAGGCTGAGAATTCGGTCATGCAAAAAGAAGGAACTAAACCTTTGAAAGAAACAACAACAATCGAAGTCTTATGTGAGTAATTTCATTCTATTTATCATATCTGTTTTTACATCGCATAATATAAACAAGAACAATTTATTATGTCTCTATAGTTCACATTTTTAAAATGCCATCTAATTAATTGCCCCACATAATTTCTACTGTAACATACGTTATTAATTCAATACAATTTTTATAATTATTTTTAATTTTTATTATATTTTAAAGACATATTATTTTTAATTTAAGACTTATTTTTTAATTATATTTAACGGTAAAAAAAATTTTTTTTTTTTAATTTTTACATATACCGTTAAATAATTTAATACTAGAAACACTTTTTGCTTATAGTGAACTTTTCTCCTAAAACTTTGTTAAATTGCTACTTTGATAAGATAATTAATTGAAAAGCAACTTATCAACTAATTTTCTCAAGCAAGTTTTAAAGCATCAAACATGTGCAAAGTTTGATGAATGCACCCATAAAGATTATATATAGAGAGAAGGAAATTAAAGTTTCTATTTAACAATGCAGTCGCATCGATGAAGTTCTTTATTAGAAAATTAAACACGCAACGCACGATGTTAAAAAAAAAAATCATTGAAAGGAAAATGTAATTTATTTCGAACAAAACTAAAATTGTTAATATTTTAAAAATGTATTTTTGATACTTGATTCCGAAAAAAAATTTCTCTAATTCTCCCCTTCCCCACCCCCCTCAAAAAAAAGTGAGACGTGACTTATAGTGAAATGTGGTTCTAGAAGACTTCATTCAGCTTTCATTTCCCTCTTGTAGACTTGCAAGCTTTTACTCGTCATGACATCGCTTTCCTCATGCAAATATACGCATTTCCAAAGCCCGTCACGTAACCTTTCTTCGATGAGGACTTTATATATCTGCGCTTAACTAGTTTTCTATATCCTTTTCTCACTTGTATATATATATATATACGTATCTGCGAGAAAATAGGAATAGACGATCAATATATATCGAATAATCTTTTTTTTTAGTTTTTTGCTTTTTGGAATATTTTTATTGTATTCCTATTTTCATTTTGCATTTTTCATAAAAATTACTATTTTATTTACGGATGTATTAATTTTTCCAAAAATATAAATGATTTATTATTATATTATTTATTAATATTTATTATATTTATTATTTAGTAAATATTTAGTATATACTAAGTAAAAGTAGCTACTAGTAAATATTTAGTAAATATTTAGTAAACAGTAAATATTTACCTACTAAAATTATAAACTAGTAAATATTTACCTAGTAAAAATAGCTACTAATAAATATTTACCTAGTAAAATTAGCAACTATTAAATATTTACCTAGTAAAAATAACAACTAGTAAATATTTAGTAAATATTTAGTAAATATTTAGTAAATATTTAGTAAATATTTAGTAAATATTTAGTAAATAGTAAATATTTACCTAGTAAAAAAAACAACTAGTAAATATTTACCTAGTAAAATTAGCAACTAGTAAATATTTAGTAAATAGTAAATATTTACCTACTAAAATTAGAAACTAGTAAATATTTACCTAGTAAAAATAGCAACTAGTAAATATTTACCTAGTAAAATTAGCAAGTATTAAATATTTACCTAGTAAAAATAGCAACTAGTAAATATTTAACTAGTAAAAATAGCTACTAGTAAATAATTACCTAGTAAAATTAAAAACTAGTAAATATTTACCTAGTAAAAATAGCAACTAGTAAATATTTACCTAGTAAAATTAGCAACTATTAAATATTAACCCAGTAAAAATAGCAACTAGTAAATATTTAGTAAATAATAAATATTTACCTAGTAAAAATAACAACTAGTAAATATTTAGTAAATATTTAGTAAATATTTAGTAAATATTTAGTAAATAGTAAATATTTACCTAGTAAAAAAAACAACTAGTAAATATTTACCTAGTAAAATTAGCAAGTATTAAATATTTACCTAGTAAAAATAGCAACTAGTAAATATTTAACTAGTAAAAATAGCTACTAGTAAATATTTACCTAGTAAAATTAGCAACTATTAAATATTTACCTAGTAAAAATAACAACTAGTAAATATTTAGTAAATATTTAGTAAATATTTAGTAAATAGTAAATATTTACCTAGTAAAAAAAACAACTAGTAAATATTTACCTAGTAAAATTAGCAACTAGTAAATATTTAGTAAATAGTAAATATTTACCTACTAAAATTAGAAACTAGTAAATATTTACCTAGTAAAAATAGCAACTAGTAAATATTTAACTAGTAAAAATAGCTACTAGTAAATAATTACCTAGTAAAATTAAAAACTAGTAAATATTTACCTAGTAAAAATAGCAACTAGTAAATATTTACCTAGTAAAATTAGCAACTATTAAATATTAACCCAGTAAAAATAGCAACTAGTAAATATTTAGTAAATAATAAATATTTACCTAATAAATATTTAGTAAATAGTAAATATTTACCTAGTAAAATTAGAAACTAGTAAATATTTACCTAGTAAAAATAGCAACTATTAAATATTTACCTAGTAAAATTAGCAACTAGTAAATATTTACCCAGTAAAAATAGCAACTAGTAAATATTTGGTAAATAATAAATATTTATCTAGTAAATATTTAGTAAATAGTAAATATTTACCTGGTAAAAATAGCAACTAGTAAATATTTAGCAAATATTAAAAATATTACAAAATCCATATTAATGAAAAATAAAAAAATTTTGTTTTCAGACGAACCATTAATTACAATAAAACCAAGTAACATAACAGTAAATGAAACAGAACAATTTACAATGCTTTGTGAATATGTTGCAAATCCAGCGGCATTAACAAGCGTAAAATGGTAAGTTTTTTGATAATATTTTTGGCTTGAATTATAATACATATATATAAATTATGGCTCATTGAACAAAAATTAAAATCGTTTTTGAAATCGGCATTTTTTTTTTTCAAATAACATTCCTCAATTTATATATAATAATATGAGAGATTTTTATTTATTTTTTTTTTTGTTCTACTGAAACGGGGCAATTATTTCTGTTATCGTATTATTTAAACATCGCTGGGTTTATTAAATAATGAACGATTATATACGGTTTACGAGAATCCAATACCTTCATGATAAGTGATCCATAAAATACGATTTTGCGAGCGAGTTTATATTTTGCGGAACAAGCAAATTTTTAGTCATATAACTTTGAGCTCGGTCATGCACCATCAAAAAGACTGTGCTCTGCTACAAAAAGCAATGTTGAAGGCAATATCAACAGTTTACGAGCTTCATTGAAGGTCCCCTACTATTTTTTTTTTTTTTGTAAACTTCGTTTCAATGTTGATATTTGAATTAAACAGAAAACTCACGCATACAAGTGAAGTAAAAGAAGATTATAATTATTTAGTTTGTGAATTTTTAATTAAAGAACTTTAAATAGTTTTCAATATTTTGGTTTGTTTTTATTTACTCTCTAAATCTGAATTAGTAAAAATGTTTACTAATTTGAATTAGTGACTCAATTTTTGCTTCTGAATTAGTTAAAGTTTACTAATTTTTAGTAAAAGTTACTAATGATTAGTAAAATTTTACTAATTCAGAAGCAAAAAGTGAGTCACTATTTCAAATTAGTATACTTTTTTACTAATTCTAATACTAATTCTTAGAATAATTACTTCTAATACTAATTTTTACTATAATTTTTACTAATTTTATTAATAAATACTTAAATTAGTTAAATTTTACTAATTGTTAGTAAAAGTTACTAATAATTAGTAAAATTTTACTAATTGTTAGTAAAAGTTACTAATAATTAGTAAAATTTTACTAATTGTGAGTAAAAGTTACTAATAATTAGTAAAATTTTACTAATTCAGAAGCAAAAAGTGAGTCACTATTTCAAATTAGTATACTTTTTTACTAATTCTAATACTAATTCTTAGAATAATTACTTCTAATACTAATTTTTACTATAATTTTTACTAATTTTACTAATAAATACTTAAATTAGTTAAATTTTACTACTTGTTAGTAAAAGTTACTAATAATTAGTAAAATTTTACTAATTGTTAGTAAAAGTTACTAATAATTAGTAAAATTTTACTAATTGTGAGTAAAAGTTACTAATAATTAGTAAAATTTTACTAATTCAGAAGCAAAAAGTGAGTCACTATTTCAAATTAGTATACTTTTTTACTAATTCTAATACTAATTCTTAGAATAATTACTTCTAATACTAATTTTTACTATAATTTTTACTAATTTTATTAATAAATACTTAAATTAGTTAAATTTTACTAATTGTTAGTAAAAGTTACTAATAATTAGTAAAATTTTACTAATTGTTAGTAAAAGTTACTAATAATTAGTAAAATTTTACTAATTGTGAGTAAAAGTTACTAATAATTAGTAAAATTTTACTAATTCAGAAGCAAAAAGTGAGTCACTATTTCAAATTAGTATACTTTTTTACTAATTCTAATACTAATTCTTAGAATAATTACTTCTAATACTAATTTTTACTATAATTTTTACTAATTTTACTAATAAATACTTAAATTAGTTAAATTTTACTACTTGTTAGTAAAAGTTACTAATAATTAGTAAAATTTTACTAATTGTTAGTAAAAGTTACTAATAATTAGTAAAATTTTACTAATTGTGAGTAAAAGTTACTAATAATTAGTAAAATTTTACTAATTCAGAAGCAAAAAGTGAGTCACTATTTCAAATTAGTATACTTTTTTACTAATTCTAATACTAATTCTTAGAATAATTACTTCTAATACTAATTTTTACTATAATTTTTACTAATTTTACTAATAAATACTTAAATTAGTTAAATTTTACTACTTGTTAGTAAAAGTTACTAATAATTAGTAAAATTTTACTAATTGTTAGTAAAAGTTACTAATAATTAGTTAAATTTTACTAATTGTTAGTAAAAGTTATTAATAATTAGTAAAATTTTACTAATTCAGAAGCAAAAAGTGAGTCACTAATTCAAATTAGTAAACATTTTTACTAATTCAGATTTAGAGAGTAGTAAATCTTTTTTTTTTATTTGTTTTTTATTATTCTTATTTTTTATTGTATAATTAATATTATATTCCCTAATTTTCGATGTTGGTGTCTTTATTCATCTCGAATGAAACAATTTCCATTAGCTTAAAAAAATTCCGTTATTTTATGATAAACAGGAATTTCTTTTTTTTTATCTTCTTTTTATATAGGTTACGAGATGGAGAAGAAATTGCATTAGATCCATTGAATTATGAAGGTGGGATAATACAAAAGCCGGATCTCACGATTAAAAATGCCACCTCTGAACATATGGGAAATTATACTTGTGTTCTGGAAAATACAGTGGGAAAAGGCAATACATCAGACTTTGTTGTTGTTTCCGTATTGTGTACGTATAATATTATTTTTGACATTATTTTTTTTTTCCTAAAGTAATAAATATACCAATATCGACAAAAAAAAAAAATTATTATTTCTACAAAAAAAAATTTTTGGTAACAATTGTTAGAAAAACATTTAAAGTCAAATGATTCTAAATTTAAAAAGTAAAATCCACTAATGTAATTATACATCTAATATTAAATTAGAAGAGAGGAATATAAAAAGAAAAATTTGATAAAATCCTCTTTTTCTGTCTCTCCTTAGAGAAATCGTAAAAGGAAATGTACTATTTTCTCGGTTTATTTGAAATGCTACAAACCGATAAAGCATTTCCTTTCACGAAGAAAAGTCAGAATGCAAGTAATCACATAGACACTTTTCTGATTTGACACTCAAACCTAAAAATACATTTCTAAAGGTAATTTTTTTTTTCTCCCCCGATAATCAGATTTATCATCATAATTTTTTTTTATCCCCTTTCTGCTGTAGATTCTGATTTTCAAAGTTTATCTGGAAATATTTTCAATAGATTTTTGTAATCAAATTTTTTATATTTTTCGCTTTCAAAAAGAAAAAGAAAAAAAAAAAGATGAAAAAAATTTATTGTTTGAATCGGAAAAACATATGATTTGAATCACAGATAAACCGGAGGTGGAAGTTAGTATGGAGCCGAGTGGTCCTATCAATGAGACTGACCGTGTGAACGTTTCTTTGACTTGCGAAGTCACTGACGGAAATCCGAGGACCTTGATTGCTGTCCGTTGGTATTTGGATGGGGATCTACTGAAGGAACTTCCGGATTGCACACGGAACACGACTCCAGTGACCACAGATGAAATAGCCACCTTCTGCGACATTGATCCAAGTAAATTGCTCCTGGAGGCTGTCGGAAGATCATTTCATGGAAACTATTCGTGCGAAGGTAGAAATGAAGCTGGTTGGGGTCCCATATCTTCAAGTACGCCAGTTGTTGTAAACTGTAAGTTTTTCATCTTTCTCTATTCAAACACAGATTTTTTCCTATTTCTATAACATACTTCTTTTTTTTTATATATATAAGATTTCTGCACCAAAAACTTATCTGAATTTTAAAATAATTTCCTTTTTTTTCTTTAAAATATTTTTTCTACAAATTTTGAAAAATCATTTCAAAAATGAACACAATTTTATTTGAATATATAATATATGGAAAAAAAGTTTTTTTTTTCTGTAAATAATCGAGTATTTTATGTCTGATAGAAATTTACCTATACTACTAAGAGAGAAATTGGAAAAAAAATTCAAAGTTTTGTCTAACTAAAACTGAATATTTTTGTACTTGTTGCTAAATAAAATATTACATCAATATGTCTGACTAAAATTGACTTATACTACTGAGAAAGAAATTCAAAATTTTATGTCTGACTAATAACTGATTTTTACTACTGATTAAGAAATTAAAATTTCATGTCTGATAAAAAGTGACTTATAAATTAATATAAAAATATCAAGTCTGACTAATACGAGTTTTTACTACTGAGAAAAGTAATTTTGAAAATTTTTTGCCTGACTAAAAACTGATTTTTACTACTAGTTTTTTATATGATTTACAAAGTAAAATATAATGTCTGACCAATACTGGCTTCTACTACTGATAACAGAAATACAGGAATTTTGGAAATCTTCTGTCTGACTAAATACTGACTTCTACTGAGAATGAAATTAATAAGTTAAAACACGACGTCTGACTAAATACTGACTTGTACTACTAAAAATGAAAATAAATTAAAACATGGCGTCTGACTATAACTGGGCTGTACCACTACTACTTAAAATAAAATGACATAAATTTTAAAAAGGTTTTTCTGTCCACTATAATCAACATTTGAAAAAATTCTGCCTGACTGAAAATTGACCTTTACTACTTGAGACAGAGTTTAAATAAAAAAATTAAAAATATTTAACTTGTACTCTTGGATAACAAAAATTTTATTTTTCTAATTTTCAAAATTTGTCCCATTTTTAGAATTAATGGATTACTTTTTTTTAACTTTGCTTTTTCTAATTACTTTTTACATCGTTAAAATTTCTATATGTGTATATATATATGATCTGAAATTAAATAATACATTTTTAATAAAATAAAAAAAAAATGAATATGAAAACAAATGTAACGTAGAAAAATTTAATTGGCCAGAGGGTTTGAGCAGTCATTCGAGTACTTTAATAAAGTTTTTAAAATAAAATATACAAGCAGAGTGAACAATTTTTTACTTTATTTCCGTTATGTTATAATTATTTTAAAAGGAACTCGAGATTACAGCAAAAAAAATATCAGCAAAAAAAAAAATATCTCTCTCTCTCTCTCTCACTCTTTGCTTGTGATGTCTAACTTATTCATCTAGACAAAAATTAAAACAAAATAGAAAATTAATGAAAATATTTTCTTTTTTTTCTGCAGAGCGATTCTTAGTAAATAATAAAATTGCATTTTCAATGTTCAGAAGTTTAAATTAATTTCTCTCAGTGGACGAATTATGTCGTCGTTCTTTTGAAAATTGAAAAAGTAAAAACAGAGAGAATTTAATTATAAACTTAATTGAATTTTAAAAGTAATATTATATTTATACATTATAAAAATTTAAATTAGATAAGTTTTGCCCTTATTAATATTATAAGTTTTATTATTTTGCCATCTAATAAAGAATTTTTGAAAACTTTCATAGAGGCAAAAATTCTGTTTTCTTTGCTTTTTTTTTACACTTTAGAAAATTTTTTCGGAAACTTTTACACGAAGGTCCGAAATTCTTTCCTTCAAGAATTTTTTGTTTTTTATCTTTATACATTAAAATATAAAAATTATGATAAAATGAAAAATATAAAAATTATAATTGTATAATTATAATTTCGCGCTGAAAATAATTTTGATTTTGAATTTGATTTATGAAGATGGATATTAAATTTGGAAATCGTTTAATACAGATAAACCGGGACCAGCTTTGATATCATACGAACCCCTTCGAGTGATCAAAAAACACAGTTTAACTATTACATGCTCAGTGGAAGATCCAGGACGACCGGAAATTGCAGGCTTCAAATGGATGCGTGGACTTTATAGATTGCCGGATGAAAATAAATCAGTTCTCAAAATTGAATCGGCAAACCTTGAAACTGAAGCTAATTTTACATGTATGGCATATAATTCTGCTGGTGATGGTGATTCAGCAACAACATTTGTTGATGTTCAAGGTAGGAATTAAAAAAAAAAAAAAAAATTCAACCAAAAAAAAATTAATATCTTATTAACAAATTAAATTAATAATTAAATATTAAATAATAATAATTAAAAATAAATTTTTAATCTATTTTTAAATTAAAATATAATGAAAATAATTGCGATAAAAGAAAAAATAATAATAATTTTTTTTCAGCTCCTCCTGCATTTATCAAGAAACTTCCACCATACGTTGGTTTTGCTTACAATGCATCTAGTGTGAGCATTGAATGTATTGTCGAATGTGCTCCAATTTGTAATATTTCATGGAAAAAAGGAGATAAATTAATTGATTTTTCCGAATCGAAACAATATTATGTTACAAATTTTTATCGTTCACCAGATTTACGAACATTTGATTTTGAAAGTATACAGTCGACTTTAATTTGGAATCTAACTGCCTGGCCAAATGGTCAACTTGATAGATTAGAAGATAACGGAAGATTCACTTGTGAAAGTACCAGTAATGGCGTTGGAAAAGCTGTTAACAGTAATACCACTTTTCAAGTAGAATGTACGTTTATTACTTTTTCAAATCTCTTTTTTCCAGTCATAAAATTAATTACTCTTTTCAAAAAAAAAAAAAAAGACATTTACTGAAAATATATTTTTTTTAAATTTAATTTAATATTTCTAATTGTTAGAAATTTTTTTAATTAATAGAAAAATTCGATTTTATTTCTGAAAACAATTTTTCATTATTTTTAGATCCACCGGAAAATTTGACAATTTCTAAAGAGAGAATAAATGTCATCGTTGATCATATACCTGAAAAAATAAGTTGTTCAGCAAAAGCTTATCCTGAACCACAATTTGAATGGTATCGTGAAGGATCAAATGAAATTTTAGGCACCTCAAATACACTCTCATTTGAATATACATTTCCAAAAAGAAGTAATGGAACATATTATTGTAGAGTTAAAAATCGTCAAGGTGTTAATAATATATCGACTTATATAAATGTTCAATGTACGTAAAATTTTTCTTCTCTTTATTTACATTTTTTTCGTTCAAATTATTTATTCCATTGTTAAAAAAATTTTGTTCCTTTAATTATTTGATAAATAAATTTTTTATTACATTTATAATAAATTAAAAAAAAAATTTTTATTTTTTTTTTTTTTAGATAAACCGGAATGTCGAATAGAAAGAGAACGAAGAGACGGTCAAGATTACATCGTTTGTTCGGCCGAAGGCAATCCAAAGGAATCGGATTTTATATGGACTTTAAAAGTTGGTAACGATACATTCGATCAAAATGCAGAAATACATGATGGCAAAAGTTATATATTATTGGAGGACCTTAACAAATTTCGAACCTATATTTGCGTCGCTAACAATTCCATTGGATTTTCAAACGAATGCGAACTCGACGTTCCAGGTTAGTTTTCAATTTAAAAACTTTAATTATTTTCTTTTTTTTCAGAAAAAAATTCTTTTTCCCTTTCAAAAAAAAAAAAAAAAGAATCCCTTATTTAACTCAAAAAATTGAAATGTTTTCTATTTCATTGAATATTACTTAATAATTGTTGTTTCAAAAAACATTTTCACACTTTTTTAAAATTTGAAATTGTTAAAGAAGAAGAAAAAAAAGTTTCTTCATTTAAACCCGTTAGAGACTTAATCAAAACTTTTAATGTAACTTCCTCTAGAGACTGATAATTTAAATGTTTAATGATAATTTGTAAGAAAAAGTTCTAGTTAAATAATTACTTTCTTATTTCAATGCTCGTGAAAAAAAAAAATTTAAATCAAGTATCATTTTATTTCTGTTGATTTTAACTTGAAAAGAAATTTTACTTCTTGTGTAAGTAATTAGTAATTATTTTAATTAATATTGATATATTTATTATTAATTGGTATATAAATTATTAATTACCATATTTACTATTAATTGTTATAAATTATTAATTACAAATTTATTATTAATTGTTATATAAATTATTGATTATCATATTTATTATTTATTGGCTTATTTATTAAATTTTATTATTTATCTTTCATTATTATATTGAAATGAAATTAAAATTTTCATATTTACATGAATTCAATTTCCATGAATAGATTTATTTCCCTATTAAATAGAACATTTAATGTTGATTCTCAGGCATATAAATCTTTCATATTTCCTTAGCTCGCCTGGGATACGACGGTAAGTTTAATGGTATTATGAAATATCACTTTTATCTTCTTTGTCATCGGAAATTTTAAATATTTTCTGAAATTCTTTTTTTTTCAATGCATTTTTTTTTTTTTTTTTTTTTTTTTTTTGAAATAATTTTTTTCCCCTTTGCAATATACACATATATAGTGATTTATCGTTGAAGATAAAATTCTACTTTTCTAGATTAGAAAGAAAGTTGGCAAAAAATATTTTATTTTTTTTTATATAAAAACTTTGTTGGTTTTAAAATATTGGAAAGGAAATTTTGAAAAGTCATGATTGAATTTTTGATTGAAAAATAATGAAGAGAAAATATTTTTGAAAAAAAAAATTAAATTTTAGAATCTCATTATAATGGGAAAACTTCTTTGGCATGTTACGTCAATTCATAAAGATTCATACGATGCAAATGTGATTTTCCTGCGCAAGAAACGTAAACTTTGGGTTTATATATAAGATTTTGATTTGAAACTTTCGTGATACGAAACCTTTGAATTTTCAAGTTTACTCTCTCTATCTTTCTCTTGAATTTTGTTCGTCTTTTCTTACATACTTATGTTATCTTATGCGGATCAAATTTCAAGAATTCTTTTTTTTTTTTAAAGAATAATGTTTTTTTTCAACTTCTTTGAAAGTAGAGTTGCACTTTGTGAGTTGCTGCATTAAACAAACTTTTTCCTTAATGCAAAAACATACAATAACTGACGTGCAAAGCTTTTGGTAGTGTTGTACATTAGTGTATTAAAATGTCCATTGAATGAAAGTGAGTCTAGGTTTTTCTTAAAAGAAAAAGAAAAAAAATAAAAATGCACTTCTTCTTTTTTGTCACCTCTATCAGACTTTTTTTCCCTTCAAAATTACATTTTCATTTATATTTATTGTACTTGGTGCAACTTTATAGAAAATTTTGTCATAAATGTAGAATATTACTTTTTATGTAACTTTTTTTTTTATAGTTTCTTATTTTTATTTGTAATTTTCGATATTTTTATGAGTCTTCACTTTTAGATTTTACTTTTTTTTTTTACGTTTTTACTAATAGCAAAAATATCGGCAATATTATTTTCAATTTCGATTAAAAAGCTTTTTGCAACTCGATTGAAACTTTTAATGTTTTATGTATATTGATTTTAAAAAATTCATTTTTGAAAGAGAATCATTGTGATATTGATAATAAAATTTGCATGTTCTCGTTAAAAAAAAAAAATCGAAATTTTTAATGTTCTTCTCGTTAAAACAAGTGTAAATTTATCAATTTTTCACACAAAATATTTAAAAGCATGAGAGGGTATTTTTTAAATGTAGGGCTTTTTTTTCAAAGGAAAAATTGAAAATATTATTTTTATTGGTATAAAAGAAAGAATGAAAATATTTTGATTTATTTTTTTGCAGGAAGTACTCCATGGTGGCTTAGGATATTAGAAATGCCTACACTTGCCATCATTGTCGCGGTGGTTGTACTAATTGCGATCATCATTGCTGGCACTGTCATTTTCATAGTTTGCAGACGAAAGCGTACACCGGGGAAATGTGAGTTGACTTCAGTTACTGAATATCGTTAACGCTTAGTGTGAATTCAAATTTGCATGCTTTAGGAGTATAATATGTGGAATTCCTTCAAAACGAGGGAGCATTCAAAGTTCTCAAACTTCTAAATCCAATTTTCGCGAATTATTCCACTTAATATAAGATTTAAAAAGATTATATAACTCATCAATGGAAATCAAATTTTCCTCATATTTTCCTTTTTTTTTTTTTTTTGAGGAAATTATTTCACATTCCATTTGATTGGTTTCATCTCGAAAAAAAAAAACTATAAAATCTCATTTAAATTCACTTTTATATTTTCTTCCTTTTGAAGGTATTCCTTGAAAATATTTTATTCAAGAAAAAAATTTCAAAAAAAAAAAAACACTGCTTTCTGTAGAATTTTTGACAATTTTCCAAATTTTCCAAATCGATAAATTATTTAGATTCATATTGAATGAATTTTAAAAGGGACGAATTTTTTGAAAAAATAATAAAAAAAAATAAATAAATAATTTTGAAATAATAAATCGTGGTTCGTGCATTTACTGAATAAAACTTTTTTACAATTAAGACGTTCATTAATAAGAAGCGAATAAAATATTCAAAACCTTTTTTTTTTTTTTTTATTTGCCACTTCGTGATTTGAATATGAATGAAAAGATTCAAAAAAAAAGCTCGATAAACTCCTAATCGTTGTTGGCAATATCCACGCAAAGAGAAAGAGCGACTGTGGACCAAAATGAGAGAGAGAAAAGAGATTTTGCTAAACTCATTTATATGCGTGTCACTTTCTTTTGTAATTGTAAGATTTGTATGCACCCAGTCGCTTCGATTTAACGCGACGTAAAATGTTTTATTTAAATGCCATTAAATGGCACTTAGGCTCTATGAGGAAAATTTGCTTTCATTAAAATTTTCCTTTGACTCATTTTAAGGGACAAATTTTTTTTTTTGTGGGGGGGGAAGAAATTTAAATAAAATGAATCGTGTTTTAAATGATAAAAAAAAAAGAAAATTTTTACGAAAAGTCGAGTGAAAATTTAGATTTTTGTTTGAAATGTTAAATTATGCGCGCTCGTTCATACAGAGATTGAATTGTTGAAAATTTCTCATGCATTCGTATGCGCGCGCGTGATTTAAACGAAAATTTCCGTATGAAGATTTAACTATCTCTCATTTGAGAAACAAATAGAAAACTCGTAAAAAGTAACTCGTTATCTTTTCATAGTACTGGTAATACGCTTTTATTAATCGTAAATCAAACAAGACTTCGAGTAGGTATATATATATATATATATATACGTGTGAAAGCTTTTGATATGAAAAAACGCTTATTACCACGTTTAGTAATTTACTCTCTTTAATCTTGGAGAATCGAGCCAATATGATGATTTTATTTCACTAAAATTCAGTTTAATTATATAATAATAATAATAATAATAATAATTTGATTTAGTGCTTTTACTTTCATTTTAATTTTTTTTTTATTTTTTTATTCCATTTCATTTTTATTCCATTATTACTTTTTTTACTTTTTATTTCTATTATTATTTTAAATATAATATTTCAAAAAAATATTTTTATTTATGATATTAATATAGCTCTAGGAAATTGGAACAAACTGACGTTTTATTACGGTTACATGTTAATTTTCCGGTTACTTTACAAGGTTCAGTGAATTTATTTTGTGATTCGGTTCATAGAATGCGAGAACATGAAAATTCACTCAAAATGCATTAGCAAAACGAACGTTTTAGTAATAAATATATACGTGATCATGTCCAATAAAACATTACACACTAAAAAAAAAAACAACAATTTATTTAATTCAAATAAATTGTCTACTATAAAAATAAATATTTATTTGAAACAAATAATTTTTAATTCGATGAAAAGAAATTTTTATTGAATCAATTTTTCCATATATATATATATATTTAGAACAAAAATCATTTATTGATCTAAATAATAATTTACAAATACATATTTATTTGATGTAAATATTTTTTTCGATATAAATATTTTGTTTGTTAAAAAAAAGATATTTATTTGCTAAAAATAAAATTGAAGAGAAATGATTTTTAAAAATTCTTTACGAAAATGATATGGAAAGCAGTGTTTTTTGAAATGTCAAATGAAAAAAAAGGTCAATTTATATGCATACTGCTTGGGCGATGATAAATTTTGATAAGAAAAAAAGGAAAAAAAAAAGAAAAAGTTTGCCCAAGTATTGCGACACTCTAACAAATTTAATCTATAAGCTTCGATCTAAATATACATATAACACTTTGCATTCTGCAATTGTTTTTTTTTTTTTTTTTTTGTGTTTTTTCAGTACATCTAGAGAGTAAGATTTATTTACATGCTTGCTATGAGCATGAATGTTATTGAATTATATTTTGTTCATGATTATAATTGAGCAATTGAGTCAAATTCTTTTTTTTTTTTTACATACATCTCAGAAGCAGGAGATGAACATTTCTTTTTTTTAGTATAATTGAAGCATGTCATTGTGCCCAATTGTTGTAATGTCGAAGACAATTTAATATTTTCATTAACTATTTAAAAATTAATTCAATTTAAAATTTAATAAGTTTTCATTCAATCAATAAGTTTTCTATTTTTGTTAAACAAAGGTCATATTTAGTAAATTTTTTTTTGCTGATTCAATTTTTATTTCTGAATAATTTTTATTTATTTTTATTATTTTTCTTATTTTTTTTATTTATTATTTTTTTATATTTATTATTTTTCTTATTTATTTGTAACGGGCAGTGCTCTTTATTATATTATTTTGTTTCAAATTTATTATCATAATTTAATTTCACGTATCACTGTTCATGGAATTAATTTCAATTAATGATATTAAGTAGCATTGTTTCTATAACTTTTAGAGAATATAATCATTATCTCTCACACTACCTTTCTCTTCAAAGGAGACATTTACGTTCTCTTTGCCTTGCATATATATAAAGGCTATTATTGTAGTTAGAACGTTAATTAATTTTGCTATACAAAACAATAAGGTAATTTTGATTAGAAATACAAAATTTATTATAAATTATCTATACAATACAATTATGTAGATAAATTTAGTTTTTTTTTTTTTGCTAGTTTTCGACATTACAATAAATAGGCACACGCTAGTCAACCTCACTAACACAAACTTATTTGTTTCTCTTTCTGCTTTTTAATTTGGACTTACTAAACAAAACACAGACAGTAACCGGGTGGTTGAACTGGAAGAACGCGAGCAGTAAGTATTCAATATTTTTTTTTTAAATTAATATTCTTTCTTTATATAATTTCCGCTAATAGTTGCTTTTGCATGGAATGCTTTTTTTTATAAAAAAAAGAGTATATATATATATTTATAAAAAAAATACACCACCACAATGTTGCATGTATATAGAATAGAATAAAAATAACGATGGAGCAAAATATATTTTTTTTTCGTTTTAAATTAGTTCGTTAAAAAAAAAATTGCTAACAATTTTATATTATAATACAATTTTATTGTATAATAATATAATGTACATTTGGGCTGTAGGATAAAAAAAAACGTATAGGGAAATAATAAAATAATTCCAAAAAAAGTTTTTTTAAATAAATATTTATAGGAGAAAATTTTCAATTTGTCTATGAATTTTTAATAAAAATTCTCACTGATGTAGAATATTTGATATGTAATGTACACTAATTACATTAGTAAGAATTTTTTTCATATATATATATATATAGAGAGAGACTCTCTCAAAGATGTGAAACTCAAAAATACAGAATATTTCATAATTAAGTGTACTTCAACTATTTTTTTTTTTTTTTTGCTGCTGGATGGTACGCAATATTTGCCCAACCGTCATGTAGCGTAGGGTAATGTAAACTTTCATTAAAAATTTGTTTTCCAACTTTTTAAAAAAAAATTTTTTTTTTGTTAAAGAATTAAAATTTGTAAATATTATCATAGGCATAAAAAAACAGTATTTTTTTTAAATATATAAGATTCTTTTTTTTTCCCAAAAGGTTTGCAAGTTTTTAAAATTCAAAATCCCAGCAGTGATTTCTTGTGAATAAAATCCATTAGTCAACTTTTGTTGACTCAACTGGTAGTTGTGATATTATTTTTCGTGGGAGGTTTATATTACTATTCAAATTAGATGCGGAAAAAGAACATTCGCGAGAGAAAGAAAAAAAGAGAAAATAATAATATAGAAGTGCAATATTCTCTCTCTCTCTCTCTCTATATATAGTATATAGTGAAGGTATTAACTTTTTAGGGAAAAATTTAAATATATAAATTAGTATTTTTTTTATTTTCAATCAATAATTATGAAAAATAATAAAAAAAAAATGTTGAAAAAATATATTTTTATATTTTTTATAATAGCAAAAATTCTGTGTTTTTAAATTATATTTAAATTTTCTATTTAAAAAGGAAAAATACTATATTATATAAAGAAGGGGATTTTTCTTGTCATTTCAAGGAGGGCATAAACTAAAGAATGATTTTTAAATTTTCCTTTCTATAACTGAAATTATATTTTTTTCCTTCTATTCTCTTGAAATTTTTCTTTCAAAAAGAAAATTTTGTTATTGATTTTTTTTTATTTCTGAAAAAGTAACGTAAAAAATTATGTGAGGGTTTTTGAAAAATTAAAAAAATTCATTTGAAATGAAAAGAATTTGTTTGAAATTTATATAGAAAGAATTTTAAAAAAAAAATAAATATGCGAGATCATTTGAGAAAAGTTTTTATAGATACAAGACATGTTATATATAGTATATATAAGAGACTCGAATAGATATAAAGTTTCGGAATGAGTAAGTTTATATAGAGAGACGATGCCATAGCATCTTGAATTTCCAATAATTTGGACGTTCATTAGGTGGAAGGAAATCCGTAGCCCTCAAAATCGGCTTTAGTTTATCAAGCATGTGTTACTTTGCTCCATCGTTTCAAAGAGAATTCGAATTGAATTGGGTCATGTTAGAAAGATAAGTGAATATAATGAGAAGAGTGTTATTTGTATATACATATATATATAATTAAAAAATTAAAAATGTCTTTGCGCATGATATTTTTTGGTATTGAAAAATAAGTAGTAATTTAGGTAGTTTCGTATAGACGAAATTTTCTGAAATTCGATTTTAGTTTGAGTACACGAAAAAAAATATTTACCTGAAACAGCTAAACATTTCAATGTAATAGCAAAAGTTTTACTTATTTCAATTAAATCTTTCGCTATTTTAGTGAAATCTTTTGCTTATTAGTAGTAAGAGGCAGTTACAGTCAGACAAAGTGGTTATCAATTCTCTTTATTCAAATATCAGTAGTAATGGTCAATTTCGGTCAGACAAAGCGTCAAATGGAATAATTTACTATTTTAAAAGGATCAGTATTAAAATTCATTTACTATCATAAATTTGAAAATTCGATCGAATTAGACCATATAAGACAAAGAAGATTTAATTGAAAGTTGAAAATATCGTCGCATTAAATTTTTCAAAAGAATGTAAATTTTTTGTTTACGAATTGAATACATATATATAGAAATGTAACGCGCGGTGTGCATGCTTCTGCAACGTTATACGATATTTGCACGAGCAATGGAGCGTTTGTTTGGCTCCAATCTCACTTGGGGAAAACGCTTCATCCCACTCACTCACACACACATATATATATATATGCAGTGCTTGAATGCAAGTCCTGTTGCATAATTTAGTGATCGCCGCGCCACCATTCTCGTAGATCTCTGTACCAACGGGTTTGAATCTCCAAGTATGCCCGGTTTGAGTAAATGCAGAGCAAAGCAGAGAGAGAGAGAGAGAGTGAGGTAAGGACTGAACACACCTACAATGATCCTATTCAAAAGGCCGTCCTTCGTTACTCGTTTCAAGCACTACATTATTGTACGTAGCACGAAAATGGGATCGTCCGGACAATTTTAGGGAAAAGTTAAACGGAGCCTTCTCTTTCTCTCTCTCTCTCTCTCTCCATTATATTATACGGTTCATATAGTCCGTTTTCGCATATTAATCATTCCAGATAACTGAGGTATATAGGAATCCTCCAGTCTCTAGTGAACAATAGAGAGCTTCAGATACCAGAGTCCCGGGGTCAATTCGATGCGTCTCGATTTGTGAAAAGCCCGTAACGATGGTTTCAAATAGTCCCTCGTTTGTCAAATCGATTCACTTCCCCCCCCTCCCCCCTCTCTCTCTACTTTCTCATCAGACAAAAAAAAAATACCACTCAAGCTTTCTATCTAAATGGTGCTTTTACTTTTCAATTACTTTCGGAGATTGGAAAATCACGAAAATTTTGGTTTTTTTAATTGAAAGATTTATATTATTGGTATTTATTATTATTACATGTGATTTTTTAGTAATGTAATAAAATTTTACCTGTATTAAAGTAGTATAACTTGGTATCGATCAGACAAAGCGATTGAATTTCGGTTAATTAACTATATAAGTAGTAAGAGAATTTTAATTTGTTTGTTCTAATAAGTATAATAAAATTTTAGGGACAATTCTACCTTGTGATTATATTAAAGATGAATAGTAAAACTTAGTATCGACCAGACAAAATGCACTTTTGGCTAATAAACGATATCAGTAGTAAAAGTCGGATTTTGATCAGACAATAGATTTATGATTCACATATGACAAAATTTGAAATTAGTTTTAGTAGTAAAATGCAGTTTCAAGAAGAGAAAATTGGCTTGTAATTCTACTCATTTGGATATAAGTTGTAAAATTCAGTGTTGATTAGACTAAACTTGAGGCAAAGGTTTTTAGATAATATGGGAATTTAATAATTAGAATAGTCAGTTTTTGTACGAAAAAACTGTTTTACTATTCTCAGTAGTGTGAGATCATGTTTGGTCAGCCAAAAGCTTTACAAATTCAATTTTTACTTTCAGTAGAAAAAGAAATTTGCAATCAGACAGAATGGTTTTAAATTTTTTAGATATCAGTAGTACAAATCAGTTTTTCGTCAGGCAAAACTTTTATTCTAAGTAGTAAAACTGAGTTACAGTCAGGCTATACAAATTTTTATATTTTCAGTTATTCACTAGTGATAGTCAGTTTTTGGTCAGCCAATTGCTTTTTAAATTCAATTTTTACTTTCAGTTATAAAACACATTCGCAGTCAGACAGAATAGTTTTAAATTTTCTAGGTATCAGTAGTACTAGTCAGTTTTTCGTCAGGCACAATTATTCAATTTTTTTCTGAGTAGTAAAACTAGGTTACATTCAGCCAAAAATTGTCAAAGTTCAATTTTTACTTTCAGTAGTAAAATACATTCCCAGTCAGACAGATAAGTTCTAAATTCTCTAGGTATCAGTAGTACTAGTCAGTTTTTTGTTAAAAAAAAGTTTTTAATTATATTCCGAGTAGTAAAACAAGGTTACAGTTAACTCTTACAAATTTTTGAATTTTCAGCTTCAGTAGTATAAGTCAATTTTGGTCAGACATATCAGTTTCGTCTTTTACTTCAAGTCCCAGTCTTAAAAAAAAATTTCCAATTAAATTTCACTTTTAGTAGTAACAGTCAGTTTTTGGTCAGACAAATTTTAAATTCGATTTTATTTTTAGTAGTAAAAAACAGTCGCAATCGGACAAAATGGTTTTTTTATTTAGATATCAGTAGTAAAAGTCAAGTATTGGTCGGACAAGCTTTAAACTCTTATCACTTCAAGTTATGAGTAGTGAAAGGCACGTTTAGTCAGACAAATTAAAATTCTCAAATTCAACTGCTAGTTTAAAAAAAAATTTCCATAATATTTTGTAGTAGTATAAACATTGTTTTAGTCGGACTGAATAGCCCCTCAATTAAAATTACCAATTTCAACTGCAATTACATGTAAAAGTAAAACACAAAACCAATATATTATAAAAAAAATCGATTCCCTCTGACCTAGAAAACTTTTGATTGTGGTGAATAAAAGTTTTTGAAGTGTTAAAATCAAATACGTTTGACCACATTAATCTACCATGTCACGTTTTTGACTTATTTCAACCTAAAAAGGTCACAAAAAAGATATCTTTACTTTTTCCTTTAGATAAATTGAATTACTTCTCGTTTTACAACCACTTTTGAGGTTACATTTACAATAAAAAGAAAGAAATCATTTTATTTAAAACTTTCCATTAAAGAAATTCTTTTTCAATAAAAAAAGGAAAACAATGACGATAATAAAAATTAATAATTAAAAAAATAAAATAAAATAATTCAACATAATGAAATA